CTATGGTAACACATTTCCATCCTAGTGTTATAAGAAAGAGATTTGTAATCCTTAAACTATTGGATTAAGAAGTAATTAATTTCCTTATTTTGCTTTATTAACCAAACTTTATAATCAAATTACGTCAAATTAACACAAAGTGTTTTTTGTGAATCAGCAGCATAAATTGGAAATTAAGCTAAATGCAATCACCTAAATTTCTGGCCACATGGTGGAGAGCTTTTCAAAAAAGGGCATTGAGAAAAGTTAATTAAAATTGTGGTTTAAATACTATATCTTGATATCTTGAAACTTGCTAATAACGTCGTTTGGTATTATACGCCTACTTTTACGTAAGCCAATATGTCTATTTCTATTGAACTGATTCTTGGCTTCCAAATCGTCTTTTTTGGTTATTATACTTTCAACATTTGTTCATTTTAGTTCATCTACTTTTGAAACGTTTGTTTTTTGACCATTTTTGTTCCTTCAATTTCATTTTTATCTCATTTCTTTCAATCACAATTTTAACATGACGACGATACTTTACTCACTAAATTTCTTAAAATGTAGTCATAAATTTGTATTAAATGATTTTCATTGTGTTAAAATGAATTAGTAATTTCTATGTGTTTCTTGAGACCAAATGTCTAGAGTCAAGCGATTGTCTTGTGAGATTAGTCGTGATGCGCGTAAGCTGGTTCGAACACTATTATTTAGTAAACATTCTATATTTGTCCATCTCGCTCATTATACTTAATTAGATTTTTTCCCCTTTTTCTATTATTTTTTTAAGTACAACAAATTGGGGGGTGGGAATCGAACTTATAACTTCTTGGTCAGAGACAGATGTCAATTACCGCTAAACTAATATTGTTGACATTGTTCAAATTAGTTAATGAAAAGTTAAATATATTTTTGTATTTCGGCATGACGTACTGTCGAATTAAGCTACACGATAATAATATAAATAGTTGTATACATCTAATTAATGCCCGTAATATTCTCTCTCTAGGATATATATAACCTATTGTATGTTGGTTGTAAGCTGTATCACGTCAATGTTAATATCATGACAATATTTTCTTTATAGCCAATACATAGATGCTTCCTTTAGGGATGACATTTGGTAGGGCACGAAAAATACGTCAAGTATTTATTTCCGAGCTACCTCTCCATACCTCAAATTTAGAGTATTTTCCACATATCGATATTTTTATCGACGTTTTTATATGGATATAGATTCGACATTTATGTAACGGATGAATTGACATTTCTATAGTATCAAAAAGAAAAATTGACAAAATGTAAGAAATGTTAAAGAAAATAACTTATGTAGACATAATAAACAAATTTTGACTTATTTAAAGAGGGAAAAAAACTTATTAGTTAACTTAAATTTAACTATAAATATATTTTATGATTTTTTTCCTTCTATGATTTGTCTCGAAATTAAGATCTATTGGGATTGGGAATCAAACTCAAGACTTTTTGGTTGGAGATATACGTCAATTACCGCTGAGTTATGCTCATTTTGACTATTCGCACCCACCAACATTTAAAGCTTGGTATTCGGTTGGAAAGATTCCTCAAATGGGAATTTACTTCTAGAAATGATTTTTTTCCATTTATATATTTTATAGATCAAAGTTTGATTAAAATATTAACAAATATATACAAGTCTATATTTCAAGCAAAAGCAAGAGAAAATAATGCATTAGTTTAAATAAATATCTTATATAGAAAAATTACTTTAATTGATAAATAAAAATAATTAACTTTTTAACCAAATAATCAAAATTTTATAGCACTAAAATTGATTCTGAAGTCGGCAATTCCCCAAAGTAATCACTTTCTTTTCTTTTCTTTTTACTTCCTTTTTACATTTTTTTTATTACAAGATTAAATTATCACCGTTTCAACCGCCTTTTGATTTAATGCAGACATTCTACATCATAAAAATTTTATCTACTAAGCTATGCATTGGGAATTAAAAAAGTGTTCGCTGACTTCATTTAAAGTTAATAACGTCAGTATCATTTAGAACGATGTAGGGTCCAACAATATTGATAAATCGTTTCTAAAGAAAAAATCACGATTTGAACAATGAGAGAATATGTATTCTCGTAACATTAGAAAATTTTCCCGACTCTATTTAAGGTATTATTATTTTTACATCGTCTTATTAATATTAATAGGAAAACTATAATAGTTACATATTTAACTAGACTCCTTAATTTCAACTTCATCTTTTCAAAGTGTTATTATCATCTTTTATCTTTTATTAGTGAGGGATATCAAAAGTCAAACATGGCCATTTTTGGTTCAAAAAGTAATTAAAATTTAAGAATATTATTTACAATATAATTCACCCCTAAAAATGACATTCTTCCACTAATGAGATCCTTATTGTTATTTAAAACAAAAAACTCAAAGCCCTAATTATCATAATTATTACACTCCATTGAAGAAAGTCGGCAATTCCCCACAAAAATTAATCTAATCAATAGTATATATCTTGTAAAGTTGGGATCTATTTATATTGGATTTGAGGTCACTTTATGAATTTTGCTGAAATTAATCTTGTGTCTCCAACATTTGACCCCTTTTTTTCCCACTAACCCAACACCAAAAAAATATATTATTATTATTATTGTTAAAATAATGTTATTCTCAAAGAAAAAAAAAATTTAAGAGGTGAAAAAAAACTAGCTAATTGAATCATGTATGATACTGAGAGTCGATAACTATCAACATTTATGTGTTTCATCTTAAAATCGACAATGAGAGAAATAACCTATATATATTATAAATTTTTGTTAAGTCTAGGATCCTTAACAATAACTACTCATAGTTATTTCCTTAACACAAAAGAAGAGTACGACCAATGTTTTATTTTTATCCTAATTGATCATGATTCAACATTATAAGTATAACGTTTTTTTCACAATAACCGAACACTTTTATTTGTAAATACTACATATTTGATTCCTTTCATAAATTTTTTGACCTATGAATTCGAGTCTAAAGAAAATGATAGTTCTTATATTATCCATATGTTATGATATGAATATCATCTCCACGAGTCAATTCTTTTGACAAGTGTTCCCTATGAAATCTCTCTTCAACGATGGGATATGTTTACACATATCAAATTACCTTTGATAAAAAAAAATTATATTTATTTTTGTTGAGCTACTCGATTATATTATAAAAGGAAAGAGATGCAAAATAAGTGTTACATTAAATTTTGTGCCTTAATTTGAATATCATTGCTCTATTACCATATATTATTGAAGTTTAATTGGGAAAGAAACAAAACATTGAATTCTAAATTAGGTTGGCCATATCAATTAACTTAGGTCAAAGCAAAAAATGGTGTATTGAACAGAATTTCTGACCTATTAATTCATTCCAACTGCAATTGTCTCTTAGAATTAAGACAATTTCTATTAATAATGTAGAGAAACCACCATACTTCAACAATAAATTTTTCAAATAACTTTATTTTCAAAATTTTGTATTAAAAATAATAAAGGGAGGAAATAACTAGTTCCGCCCTTAATCTTAGCGAAATATATATCAATTCTTATCCTAAACTTTTAATTTGATAAGCTAGACCTTTAGACTTGAATAAGTGTTACAATCTTTACTTTAAATCTTAAAAAGTCGATGTTGCAATTTTTACTGTTAAAAACAGACTTTTGTTTGAAGAATTTGTTAACAAAATATCACCATGTGTCTAATAAATTATAAAACATATTTATGGTACAAAATTTATGAAACTTAAAAAAGAAAAGGAAAAAAAATAGAGACTAACACACAAGATTGGATTATTTCCCTTTCAAAAAAAAAATTACATTATTTCTTGAAATTTGTGAGATCTTAAAGATTGAATGAGGTTTTTTTTTTTTGAAATTACGAGCTTTTTAGATTTTTATGTTAAAATTAACGATTGTGTAAGTTGAATCTAAGGTAAAAAAGATWGTAACTTTTGTCACGGTGTCTAAGGTTTAATTTGATGAAGTATTAAAAGTTTATGACAAAAATTAATATAGTGGATGAAGTTAAAAGGATAAATTCTCTTTTTTTTTTCCAAAATAATATTATTCATACAATCCCCCACCCCACGAAACAACCACACAAAATTTCTTTCTTTTATCAATTACATTTTTACATTAAACGCTTTCATAAAAGTAAAAATAAAAATTACAGTAACATAAATTCTTTCACATTTAAGCTTTTTTTTTTAGTTTTTTTAATATAAATAAAAAAAATTTAAACACTAAATTTTGTCAAATTAACATTTTAACACATATGTAGGGCAACATCCACCTTTTGGGTTCCAAAAGGCAATGATAGATATTGGTGCCAAAGCCAATCTCTCTCTTCAAATGGTTTTTCCTTCATTTCTTTCCCTTTTTCCTCCTTAAAACCTTCGTTTCTAAAATTTCTTACCGACCTAACATCTCCACCGCTATATTTTTATTTTCGGAACAAAAAATTGTGGGCATGAAATTTGAACTTTCAACTTTGGAGAAATGAGTAGCTGTCAATTACCTTAAAACTTTCATCTTTGTTCTTACCAGCATGACACGTTCATCACTAGATTTTCATTTTTCTTTGTACAAGAATTATGTGAGCATGAAATTTGAACTTCTRATCTCAAAGTAACGAGTAGTTGTCAATTACCGTCCAGTTATTCTTTTAAGAAAAAATAGAAAAAGCCGTCTCTCAGCTTCTTTTCAGCTGACGACTGAAAGTGAAGGTAGCTCCAAAAAGAAAATATGGAGATGGGTCCTTGTCTCCTCCTCCTCACTTTGTTTACCCAACTTTCACTTTTTTATCCTATCTCAAGATCCAATTTTTACTCTAATAACAATAAACAATAATTATCCTGATTCCCCCCATTGGTGGGCTTCAAAAAAAGATCTTCAATTTCTAAAATTAAAAAAAAGTTTGAACTTTGAAAAAAGGGTATATATATACCTCTTCCCAACTCCAAAATCCTTCAACCCCGGCCCCTCTTCAATAACACCCACATGGAGAAAAACAAATTTTCCGGTGATCGGAATAATCTCTCCGACCGCCACAACCGCCCGCCTCCCGCTCCCGGAGGTGGCTGGAAAGCCGCCATCTTCGTCATCTGTAAATTAGAACTCCCAACTTTTCTTTTCTTTTCTTTTTCCCTTTTTTTTATTCATTTATATAATAATTAATTAATGGCACTGCAGGCGTGGAAATCGCCGAGCAATTCGCTTTCATCGGCTTGTCGAGTAATTTGATCATGTACTTCACCACCGTCCTCGGCGAGCCCACCGCCGCCGCCGCCAAACAAGTCAACAACTGGGCCGGCGTCTCCGCCGTCTTCCCAATACTCGGTGCCTTCGTTGCCGACTCATTCCTCGGCCGTTTCAAAACAATTATCATTTCCACCCTCATATATTTCCTGGTACAGAGCTAGTCCGAAATTTATAATTTTTATTAATTTTTTAATCTAAGAGCAAGTCTATGTTTTTTTTTCCTAAATGATCTAAATTCGAAATTTTTAATTTGATTGGTTGGGTTTTGAATTCAGGGAATGGTGTTGTTGAGTGTATCGGTGAGTTGGGTCGGGTCGGGTCACCGGAAGGCGGTGGTTCTGGTGGCGCTGTACATTATGTCGGTGGGAGAGGGCGGGCACCGGCCGTGCGTGCAGACGTTCGCCGCCGATCAGTTCGACGAGGGGTCGCCGGAGGAGAGGAGGAAGAAGAGTTCGTTTTTCAATTGGTGGTTCGTGGGCCTCGTTGTGGGCTCCACTCTCGCCGTCTTTCTGGTTATTTACGTTCAGGTACACTATTAATTATTATTGCTTTAATTTAATTAATCTTTAATCACCCTAATCTTCCTCGCAATTCATATGTTTAAGTCATATATTCTCAATTCAGAAGTTTGAATCTCTTTTATTTGTTATCGAACTTATAGAAAAATAAAATCAATTTAAACATAATTCAACTCGTCAAGATATATTTTCTAAAAAAATTCTCAATTCATAAGTTTGAATCTCTTTTATTTGTTATCGAATTTATAGAAAAAAATCAATTTAAACATAACTCAACTCGTCAATCTATGTTTTTTAAAAAATTGGAACTTCAGTAGTTATGTATTATTTTTTATAAATTAAAATTATTGAACAGGGAAAAGCTCTTTTTTTTCTCATTCATGTAAATTGAGCGCTTGGATGACATATTTTAGTGGTTGTTTTTATTCTTTTTTTTTTCTTTTTCATAATTTTGGAATACATTATTTTTCGTACAGATGAATAGTGTGTTGTGCTTTTACATACAAGGATTGTCAAAAAAAAAAGGAAAAAAAAAGTAGAATAAGGGTTGATTTGAGTTATAGTTATGATTTTAAATTTTAAAATTTTACTCTTTTTACTATGTTCTCTATACATTATAATTATAATATGTGGATTATAAAGTTAATTCAATCTTACTTTATTAGTGAATAAGACATCTAATACAATTTTAGGTTTCTGATGTGATCGGTTTCGTATTAAAGTTGTTGAGCCAAAAATAAAAGTACCAAGTTGTCAATATATAACTTTATGAAATATATAATTCTTAAAGATGGGAACTAAGAAGGGAGTTTGATGAAAGTTTTGAATGACTAAAGTTTGAACGAAAAGTAGATAAAAAGTTCTATCATAAAGTTATTTCCGAAAAACCAAATAAATAAATAAAATTTAAGGACATTTTACCTTTTTTTTTTAATGATGGTACCAATAAAGAGGAGAAACACAAGCTTAGAATTACAATACTTTATCACAAAATTACAATAGAGAGTAAGAAAATTAATATGTATAGAATAACCCACTTAACAAAATGAGAAAAAAAAACATATCACGTGTCATGTTTAATATTTAAAAAGAGASTATGTTTTTTTGTTAATTTAAAAGTGCTGAGACATTTAAAAATATATTTAATTAGGTCGTTAGCATAAAGTTCAATACTTTTTGATATAATAGTATCTTCCACTTCTAATTTCTTCAATTATATATAAATTTAAGCATATAATTTATTACATTAAATATATATTTATAAATCAGTTGTTTTTTTTTTTATGGAACAAATAGGATAATATGGCCACCGGGTGGGGCCTGAGTTTTGGAGTTCTGGCCGGAGTTTTGGCGGCGGCGATAGTTCTGTTTCTGGCCGGAGTGAAGAAGTACCGACAGCAAGGTCCCCTCGGAAGCCCACTGACGACAATAGCTCAGGTGGTGGTGGCGGCGGCGAGGAAGTGGCGCGTGGACGAGACGCGTCATGGATGGCGAGTGTGCTACGAAGATAACGATGCCCATCACGAGGGTCGACACGTGCTTACGACTTTGGGTCAAACAAATCAATTTAGGTATTAATCCTATTTTCTACTTTGGTCAACTCCCTTTAGAAATAAGTAATTAATCAAAATTATGTTGAATTTTTAGTTCATCATTTATCTAAAATTTATATTTAACTTAGGGGAATAGATATTGATTATTACTTTAAAGTTGCAATCTTACATGGAAAAGATGAGGATCTGTTTGATTGGTAATCATTGTTTTCAAATTTATTTAATTAAATAGATTCAGTGAATATTTGTTTGGCTGACATATTTGTTTTTTAAAATTATTTTCAAATTATCCAAATAATAAAAATTCTGAAAACAACATTTTTATATTTTCAATATTTTTTAGATTTCAAATTTAAAACTTTAAAATACAAAATTATATTAAAAAAAGTAAAAAATTTTATAAATATATTATTGCATGTTATAAACTCATTTTATTTTTGTTAAAATTAAAACATATAAAATGTAATATATTATAACTATAGTAAAAGTTTATAACAAAAATGTTAATAAATTAATTGATATTATTTTAGATTTAAATAAATATATATTCCTAAATACACGCTCTACCGTTATTTTTACTTTGAAATTCAATTTTCAAATATGCTACCAAAGAATATAACTATATTTTTTTAATTGAATCTCATATATTCATATTACCAACTAAATACAATTAACAAGAGTTCATAATATATATATGGAATAAGCTCATAATCATCACACAAAAAAGCACTATGTCAAAGTTAATACTACGGCAGTACTAGAAATTTTGTTCTTTCCAACGTGACCGATGGTGTTGATATGGGGTAGGATTTTGAACAAGGCGACGTTGATGGAGGAAGCGGATGAGAAGAGGAAGGTGCGGGACCGGTGGCGGGTGAGCACGGTGGGGGAGGTGGAGGAGGTGAAGCTGGTGGTGCGGCTGGTTCCGGTGTGGGTGAGCTGCCTGATGTTCGGAGTGGTGCAGGCACAGCTCCACACCTTCTTCACAAAGCAAGGCAGCACCATGCTCCGCTCCATTGGGCCCCACTTCCAACTCCCCCCGGCCTCTCTCCAAGGCGTCGTCGGCCTCACCATCCTCCTCACCGTTCTCTTCTACGACCGCGTTTTTGTCCCCGCCGCCAGAAACTTCACCGCCCACCACTCAGGTGCTTACACGTGCCCTTTTCTAAATATTTTTACTTTTTAATTTGCATTGCTCACCTAATTAGTTTTAATGCTGGGTTAAATTACGAATTTGGCCTCCTTTTGAAAAGTTCGAATTTAGTTTCTACCGGTTTATTAAGTCTCGTAAATTGTCTCTACAACGTTAATTTCATATGGTAAGATTAATCAATTTTCGCCTATTTAGTCCTAATTTAGCTCTAAATCCTAACACACTCCACTTAACATTTAGTCAAATATTAACCAATTGGCATTTAAACATGAGGTAAATGAATGAAAAAAAAACTCTTATATTATATATGTACCTATTAATATAAACTAATATAAATTATTTGAAGATTTATAGATAAAAATAAAATTAAGATTTCAAATGTCGATATTAATGGAGTGTCAATATCTAAATTTTATAGAATCGAAATATTAGAAAATTTTGATCCCAATTGATATTTCTAGAAAAAATAATATAAAAATATTTGAATTAATAAATAAATATTTTCCTTTAAATTAGTTAAGAATGGTACTTATTAGCATCACGCCTATCAAACGATATTTTATTAATATATTTCTTTTATTTATCTATTTTTTTGCTACATCATTGAAATAACTTATAGATATATAAAAATATGTATGCAGAAATTTAATATCATAAATAAAACTAATACATCGATCTTAATTTAATATGATATATGTAGGCATAACGGTGCTACAAAGGATAGGAATAGGGCTCTTCATATCCATCCTCAACATGGCAGTCTCCGCCTTAGTAGAGACGAAAAGGGTTGCGGTGGCGGCCAATCACGGTCTCACCGACATCCCGAAAGCGGTGGTTCCGATGACGATATGGTGGCTAATTCCACAGTACATGCTGTGCRGCATCTCCGACGCCTTCGCCATCGTCGGTCTCCAAGAACTTTTCTACGACCAAATGCCGGAATCCATGCGGAGCTTGGGGGCGGCCGCCAACATCAGCATTATTGGCGTCGGAAACTTCCTCAGCAGCGCGGTGATATCCGTCGTCCAGGCCGCCACCGTGGCGCGGGGTGGCCGGAAGTGGCTGGAGGACAATCTCAACCGTTCAAATCTGCATTACTTCTATTGGATTTTGGCGGCTTTGAGTGCTCTAAATCTGTGTGGCTATGTTTGGATGGCAAATGGGTTTGTGTATAAAAGAGTTGATCAAGAATTAGGTAATAATATCAATGGTGTGGAGAAGGAGGTGAGCTTCAAGAACAGCAATAATGGCTGCCATGGAGATGATATGATATGATCATACGAGAGAGGAGCTAAAAATGATGATTAATTATTAAATATGTGTTTTTTATTTTTCTAATTTGTAGTGAAGTTAAATTTAGGGGTGTCTCTAATGTTTTAATGGTGTTTTTTTGGCTGATGGGATGTGATATATTATATAATAATAATGGTTAATTGAAAATTTCAGAGTAATGTTTGTAGGTGAAATTTCTAAATTAAAAGCTTTTTCATTATTTTAACTTTTAACTTTTAACTAATATCAACAAAAATATAGTCTTGTCTTAGGATCATAAGAACGCTCATAACAAGTCACAATTTTATTAAAGAAAAAAGTAAAATTAAACTAATTGAAAATATTAATTATCGTTCTTATATTTTATTTCAAAAAATATATCATAACAATCAAGTCAATGAGTTAAATTTTCAATACAAATTTGATTGAAATATCTATATGCCCATGAAACATGAAGTCGATAAACCTCGTATAGTCCAAAAAAAAATTTAATTAGTAGTTTGTTTGCAACAAAGATTCGGTAAATTATTTTTTAAATGTTCTAGACTAAATTATTATAAAATAAGAGTCATAAGTAGGACCTAATATGTTACTCAATCCAAAAAAATATAGATTAACTTAATTTTTAGAAGTTATTAAAATTAAAAAAAAAAAAAAGATCATCCATTAAGTAAAGCAATGGAAGACGTGGCTGGAAAAGTAAATTAACATCATCTTATCTTCACAAAATGGTTTAGGTACTAAAACCATTTCAGGATTCTCATGTGCTATATATTTCAAATATATTCAAATCATTAATAAATTTTTTAATACGGATCTGATTAAAGAATTCAAATTCCTAATCTTTTGGTCGGAGATACGTATCTGAACTTAAACCAATTGAGTTATGTTCGAAATGTTCGGATGAGTCTATTGTTATTAATCATTAAAGAACTCACCCCCACCTTTTTTGGGCCACAAAGGGCTTTTGGGCATTGGATTGGGCCATTCTTCATTGCCCTTTCAACAATTTATTTGATTGCTTTCTTCATTGTTTTTTTTTTTATTTTTCTTTTTCTGAAAAAAGAAAAAATGAGTTTGTCATTCAAATGTTGAGGAGATAGGTTTATTAGATAAGTTCTTTTCTCCTCCCCTTCTCTCATCCTCAGTTCTTAACTCTTTCCAGCAGAGGCCAGGAGAGGGAGATAGATCAGCCTCGTTCAACAAAAAGCGGATTTATACAAGGAAAAAATAACACCGACCGACCGATGTACACCTCTATGTCCAGCTGTCTATTCCTTCATAGTTCCCTTACTCTCATATTTTTCCTTCCCTCCCGACTTTTACTCTATAACACTCTAATATTTTCACTCTCAAATTCTGACTTGGTAAGAAATTTAACAATTTTCCTTTTCAAATGGAGATTCTTCGTAGATTTAACCATTCAAGTGAAGATTTACCATAAAGAATTAACTTTTAATTTGAAATTTATTTGAAAAAAATATGGAGAATAATTTTCCACGAARAATCTCACCTCAATCATYCCAAAATTTCATGGAAAATTTCGTGAAGATAGAAAATGAGAAGAGAGGTGGGAATGGGACAAGGAAGCCATCCCCACCCCAACCCCGCCCCAATAACACTCTCAGCTGGCATAACGTCGCAGGTAATTACAAATATTTTAAAAGCTCAACTAAATCAAAATCAATCTTATAAAATGTGCCATGCTAACATTTTATATGCTAAATAAATGGAATACTCCAATAAATAAATATATATATATATAGAGTATAACGAGGGTGTGGAATTGAACTGATGATCAGAAATAAGTGTCAATTACTGCTGTTCAGCTCAAAATACATGCCTCAAAATACATGTTTATAAGTTAATTATTTTGTTTTTTTATTTTTTTATTTGGTCTGAAAGGAAGACTTCAGATAAAGTTTTTCTAACCTACAATAATTCTGTACAATCTAGATTGAAATCTAAAATAATATGTTAAAATTCAATTAATAACTTCAAAACAGAAAACATTATTATTATTATTATTTGATAAACTACTAAAAGAAAATAATTGAATTATTAACTGATATAAAAAAAGACATGAACACACAAGGAAAATGAGAATTCAAACTAAACAAAATATTATCTCACCCCACCTTTGACATTGATATGTTTTCAACACTATAATTTTTGGATTACATGTGATACAACAAATCTTCCAAAAAGGGCATTGGAAGATAATGTAAGAACATAATTAATTCATACATATCTACTAATTTATTTTTCTTTCATTTATTTTATATATTGGTCAAGAGAAAAAAAAAAGAATGGATAAAGTTAAATAAAATCTTCTTCTCTGACTAAATGGTTTAATGAATTAGTTAAAATAACATAAAAAAATTTCACATGTTAAAAAACACATAAAAACAATCACCACTTTCTTTTTTTTTTTGGCCAAAAGGTTAGGATTGAGTCATTGTCAAAAACCTCCCTTCACCTAATTTATATATATTAATCTAAAAAAAAACTACATATTTTTGTTTTACTTTAGGTTTTGAATTCTATTTTGATCTGTAAATAATTTTCTTTTAATTTAGTTTATAAACTTTGTGTAAAAATTATTTTAGTCATTGTGTTTATTTTCAATTAATTTAATAAAAAAATTTATTGAAGTTGTTTTAGAACCGAATACTTTGATCTACCGCATGCGGTGATCTAAATGAGTAAAATATGGTGCTTATATGTTGGAAACGATTTTTCTATCAAGTTCAAGAACTAAAATAAAATATTTAAAAGTTAAAGAACCGGAATAGAATAAACATGGAAGTATAGTGAGAAAAATAAGATGTAAATCTTTTTCTTATCCTCTGTTAAAWTTTTTTTTAATATTTATTTTTTCATATATATATATACAGAAATAGAAATCCATATTATAAAATGTAAAGTTGAAAAGACAGAGGGGGAAAGAATAAAATGAGTATATTGTCGTGTTCATTTTGAACTTTAATTTTAGACTTCTCATTACACAAAAATTAAAACATTAAAAAAATAATTTTCTCATGCAAAAAAGAAAAAGACATAGTTGAATATTAAGAAAAACTTTTATTTTCAATCCACTACTTTTATTTTGAATTTGTAGGTTTTTTTTATACATTAAGAAAATATCATTGACAATATTGTTGATTTTCCATCTCAATAGTTTGAAATCCAAACACATCTCTCTTACTTCCCTATTCAATTAGGACTCTCCCTCTCATTTTATGATTCGGATAAGGATTGTAGAATAAGTTTTTTTCCTTTTTTTTTTCTTTTTCTCTCGAGTGAAACGGGTTTTTTTTTAATAGTTGACAAGTTGTCAGATCAAACCATCGACTTTTGAATAATATTAAGACTGACAAGTTCGAGATATGAAATATGCATCCTATTATGGTTAAAATACTATTTTGGTCACTTGTATTTTCAACTTTCGTTCATTTTAGTCTATGCATTCTCAAAAGATTTGTTTGGGTCCTTRTACTTTTAAAAGCCACTATTTTGGTACCTTAATTTTATTTTTAATCTCATTTTTTCTATCACAATTTCGATATGACAATACAATAATCAATATTTATTGAAATGTAACCATGACTTTATATTAAATTGTTTCCATTATGTGTAGAATTTGTATAAAAAACTTAAAAATAGAAACCAAAATAGTCACTTCTAAAAAAATACAGAGACTAAAATAACATTTTTGAAGTACRTTGATCAAAATGAATCAAGGTTAAAAAATACATATATTAAAATAATATTTTAACATAATTTTGTTAGTCATATATTTCTAAGAAATTCATCGATARAATGATTATTTGACGTCAAAATATATTTTATTAATTGCATCATTTTTTTTATTATTAATTTGAGGGTCTCATTGAATTTTTCATTAACATTTGGCCGACGTTTTATGTGAAAAATTACAAAAAATGGAAGAAAGAAAAAGAAAAAGTTTTGAAGCAAATTCAAGTTCAACGGTCAGAGCCCATTTTAATTTTCTTATTTCTAAATTTGTTATAAAGAATCGATCAAATAAAAGCAAAATCGAAGTTAATGTGAGTTGGCAGACGATTTTATTCTTTACATTTGGTTAAAATAAAAGGAAAAAGAATAAATAGAAAATCTAGATATTTGATCGAGAACTTTATTTGGAGAAAAAATAATTAAAAAAAAAATCTAAAATTTGGTGACAACAGGATCTCAATAATTTTGACAAAATAAAAAGATCCCACTCAAATTTGAGCCTGAAAAACTGCTGGCCACGGCACGTGCTTAAAGATTAAGGATCAGAGTCCTACCATTCTTTAATATATATATATATATTTTCTGAAATACATGTCGTCTAGCTTACACCTTGAATTCCAGACCTCATGACGGGTGATATCACAAAATTTTTATTGTTTGATTATTGTTATGAAGATAAAGTCGCATTGATTAATAAAAYATGTATTTGGTTCATGTTTTATAATAAATTTAYTTTTATAATTTTCTAAAAATATCAATTGACACYGATATGCCAAGGGACGAGTCTCTACGTCTAACATCAATGAAATTGATTCTCATCATGATTCTTTGTAAGTAAAGAGGATCTAAGATTATTTTCAGTGCATATTTAAAATTAAATTTAAAAAAAAAAAGCGGGAACGATCTTCCATCCTCTCACTCGATTGAAGGAGTCCGAAAAATTATGCACATCCCTCTCGACTTTTCATCGATATTTCTAGACACCTTGACATGTCCATCAATAGAACTCCATTCTTTTTCAATCAAAAAAACTCACAGGCTACCATAATAATAATATAAAAAAACACTACTTTAATACCGCATCACCAAAAATGAAGGTAAAATCAAACTGAATCGTAGTAAATTGAAACTTTCAAAACAATAGCGACCAAATTGAAATCAGATCTAAAATTTGAACTTGACCTAAAAAAACAATTACAAATATGGTAGAAAAATAGAACACATCAATCAATCATCACACAAATGACCTCATTAATATCCAACTCAATCATTAAATACCCCAAAAAGCAACTAATTAATACTAAAATCATCCTAAGAATGACATGTATTACACCATCACTTAACCAAATTCTTGGACACCGAAAAATTGTTAGAAAAAGCCCAAATAGTCGAAGCATATAAAAAAAGGAAGAAGAAGAAGAATATAATCTGAGAAGAGAAGAAGAAAGAAAAGAAGGTTCCTTCTTCTTTGCTTGTTGCTGAATTCAAAAATGAAAGCCTAAGAGATCCGCAAGATTCTGTAACAAAATCTGTTGGATCTCTCTTTCCAAACTTCCCCATTTATAAACCCCATCTTCTTCCTCTGCCCACTCCACAAATTCTTCTTCTCTGTTCTTCTTCTTCTTCTTCTTCTTCTTCTTCTGTCCATTTCCATGGCGGCTGTTGTTTCTGCAGAAGCTCAGTTTCATGTGTTGGCTGTGGATGACAGCCTTATTGACAGGAAGCTCATTGAAAGGCTCCTCAAAACCTCTTCCTTCAATGGTACTGCTCTGTTTCTGCTTCTCATCCTCTGTTTCTCTCTCTCTCTCTGTTTCAATGGAGTTCATATTTTGTGTCTAAAATTTGTGGGTTTTTTGAAGTTACTGCTGTGGATTCTGGAAGCAAAGCTTTGGAGCTTCTGGGTTTGGTTAGAGATAGAAATGGTGGAGGAAGCAGCATCCATTCCTCTGTTTCCCCTCTTCATCAGGTAGGGAAAGACTGTAAATTCATCACAAACGAAGGGTTTTTATGAAACAAATTTGAAAAATCAGTGAAGGGTCTTTATTTAAAACATTAGACTTGTAAAATTTTTGAGGCAAAATTTGTTTTTTCATTGTTTGATGCAGGAGATTGAAGTTAATATGATCATTACAGATTACTGCATGCCAGAAATGACTGGCTATGATCTTCTCAGAAAGATCAAGGCAAGTTTCTTCTTCTTTTTTTTTTTTAATTCTCTGGCTGAATCTCCACTTTCCCAGCAACATTTTCTCTCCTGCCAAACAGAAAATCTGAAGGGAAAATTTGTGTCTGGTTTTGCAGGAATCTGAGTCACTCAAAGACATTCCTGTTGTGATCATGTCCTCTGAGAATGTTCCATCAAGAATCAACAGGTGAGGGGGGAAACTGCAAGAAAAAGGAACCATTTTTTCTCAACCATATCAAAATCTGAGATGACCCACTAAGAAATTAATGTGTAATTTGAAATGGGTTTGTGGGTTTTGGTTTATTTTTTTTAATTTTTGTGTTCTTGAATCAGATGTTTGGAAGAAGGAGCAGAAGAGTTTCTGCTAAAACCAGTGAAATTGTCAGATGTCAACAAGCTTAAACCCTTCATTTGCAGAGGAAAAGCCAAGGAAATGGAACAAAGCCAACAATCATACGAGAGAACAAGAACAAAATCATTTTGATTTACAGTACCAAATTTTTTTGTATCAGACAGTCACTTTGAATTTGAATTTGTCAAAATGTACAAAATTGATGAATTTCAGATTTTTAGGCTTAGAAATCTCATTATTTTGTAGCAGATATTGGCAACTCATGATTTGGATCTCTACCAAACCAACAAAATAAAGTAATACAATTTTTTTTTTTTTATATTTTCCAATTTTGGCTTTGACCCATCAATAAGATTTTTGAATGGTTTATTTATAATGACATAATTGGTCAAGATTTGCTTGTTTCCAATTCCTCCACGAAAATTGGTTGTCAATCTTGGAAGGATTACAAAGGAGTTATAATGATTCTATAAAAATGAAAAAAAAAAAAAAAGGATTATGATGTAAAATTTGAGATTCCATGTTTGAATAGTAAAAAGGAAAAATAAAAATTTTCAAAACATGGTGTGATATTATATTTTAATTGACAGAAAAAAGTATTTGATCTTCTTTGGTATGCTTTATTTACTTTTATTATATTGACAATTCTGATCTTAATAATGCATGTTCAATTTATTTATAATATTTATAGAAATTGAACATATTTTGAATTGGACTTCTCATTTTGAAAACTTTTATAATTGCTCACAATATCTTTTGATTGATTGGAGAGCATCTCTAAGATTTTGGAGAAAATATCTTCCTTTCTCAATTTGATATCTCCAAAAAGATTTTAGAAAAAGGTGTTTTCACCATTGGCTGTTATTGAGCCTCTGAAATGGAATAAGATTTTAGAAATAAATAAAATAATAATAATAATAATAAGTTAACTATTGAAACTTGGATCAAATGAGGATGAAAGCTAATGTTTCTTTGTTACAAAATACAAATAATATGGAAAATATTCAACCTTATTATATGGAAAAAAAATACTACATTTTTGTTTTTGTACTCATCATTTTAATCTATATACTTTTAAATGTCTAAATTTGATTTATGTACTTTTAGTTTGAAGATATTAGAAATGGCGGGAACTAGATCCAACGACTCCAAAAGTATCAAAACTGAAATAATATTTTAATTAATATGAAGTTGATTATCACACTCATCAATATTTAATTCTAGTGAAAGTAATACATTGATTCTTATCCACAAGAGAAGGAAAAGGAAAGGCATGGAAAATAGTCAAACTTCTAAAGTTTAAAATGTGATGTGAGAATGACAAAAAGGTCAATAAAAAATAGGTAAGATTGTAGTATTAAATTTCTATCAACATTTTTGTCTAGGTCAGTGAGGATAAATCGACATTTTTATAGTGTCCGTACAAAAAAAAATGACATAAAAATATCAACAAAATATCATAACATTGATACTCACTTAGTTTGTTAGGAATG